GGACCTCTCCTGCACCTGTCCTCTCAGTGGCGGTGCAGCAGTAGCCGGAAACCGGAAGTTGTAAACCGGAACTCGGCTTCACAATGAGGCTTGGAGTGCAGGTGCAGTCGCTTCCCCATGCTTCATCTGTGCTCACCGCTCGCCACAGAGGAATTTCTCCTCGCATTTGGCAAGCGGCTTTTTCAAGCCCTGCCCTAAATTATATATATGCAATGTATAGTGCTATCAGTGCATATCCATCATATATACATGTGCAAAAAGGCAATAAATAAGTACTAAAAAAAACTAGCCAATTTCATAAAAGTGCCTTGTGCACAAACAAATACACATTCATAATGTTGTTGATATAAAGTGCAAAAACCCACTATGAGTGCGTATCTAACTGTAATCAAAAAGGTGTCCACTGCTTACAGTCTCTTATTCGCCACAAAAAGAAAAGAAAATGCACCAAATCTTTTAGCATTTCCAGTGATGTGCTGCCATAAACTCCACTCTGGAAATCCTCAATCCATCTGCTCACCAGAAACTCTGACAAATTAAGTGGGTCCCCCATGCTTTACTAAAAGCCTCCAAGACAAGCCAACTCATTTTCAACAGTGTTCCAATCCTGGTGAGAGGTTTGAGCAGGTTTTTAGCACTTACAGTTGGGCTGGCCTTTTCAGAATATCCTGGCACAGATTTGATATAGAAAATTAAACCGTGCCTGGAATTCTTCTTTAAGTAAACAAGCCAACAGACAGATATGCATCATCTTTCTAGTTTTGTTGACCCCGTGACAGGGTCTTGTTAAGGCTGAAACACACACACACACACACACACACACACACACACACACACTTCAATGTCATCAAGGAATCCATGTTGTGTGCTTACACAGGAGGGCTACTTCCATAACAGACTGATTAACACGGAGTGAATACAGGGTGATGGTTCCAGAGATCCATGCAAATTAAGGGGTACCTTTATTTATGGTTCTTGTAACTACTGTAAGTACATGTACACTGAAGTGACACCTAAATTGCGCAATGGGGAATACTTTAAACCCAAACATTTTGCCAACTGCAGAACGTTTGGGATCTTTTGATGTGTGAATGTGGGTGTTTATATGTGGGGAAGACCAAGCTGGAATTTTGGAGATATGCCTACTGAAACATCAACAGTATGAAAACATGCGATCCCGATCTGCCCCTTGGGCAGCATATCATCCTTGTGTATAACGGTAGATTTCCAAGAATTAGTTTTCTTGTTCTTGATCGGATTCATCCAAGCCCCAGAGGAGGAGATTGGATCAAGTTTTTGTTACAATTAGAGCTACACTGGATTTTCCAACTACGTGCTACATTCCCCCCAGGCTTGAATGAATTTGTGTGTTATAAGCCCTTTTTGCAGGGCTGTGTCTGGTGGCATGGAAAAATAGCTACCTTGCTGCTGACTTATTCCCTCTCTATATGTATTTTCATGTTACTGTGGTCATTGGTATACAGGGATGCCCTGTTTTTTGTATTAGAGTAAGAGAGTAGAAGTACCTTCCGCTTATTGGATAGGACTGAACGCAATTATATATAATGTTCTTTTAAACAATATTATATGTAGAACCTTCTTTGGTGGTCTTTTGGTAGTCTAACAGTGATAGTTGGGCCCTATGTCTGTATTGTGGTGATGTCATCACTTTTGTTCGCTATATACCATTCATGTAGTTCACCCATTGGGTTCTCCTTTTTAGAAGTCTATTTTGCCTATGTACTGCTATGAATGTAATTTTCTATGAATTCGCTGTACTTTGTATTGTGCAATGATGTGTGGCCTGGTTCTTTCTGCTCCACGGGCTTGGTCCATAGTGGGCAGCCAGCCGGGTTCTTTGCGGGGTTCTGGTGGGGGGGCGCCCGGCCCACGCAGGTTGCACCTCCGCCTCGTGGTGGTTGCGGCCATGGTGTTCGGGGATCTCTTTCCCCCTGTGGGGTTATGTTCCACCTTTCCCCGCCCGTCTTGTGCGTGACGGCGGCTCACCAATACATGACGTCATCCTGTACATTAGGCAGGGTGACGCCGTGCACCGGTGTAGCAGAGGGCGGAGCCCGATGCCCGGAGGTGGAGGGGCGGCCTGCGCTTTTCGTTTGGCGCCATCTCTGAATGAGGGGTGGTGATTCAACTTAGATGCACAGCCAGGAGGAGATATCAATAGACCCCTTTCCCTGATTCCACTCTATTCTCCTAAACTTTGGATGTGAAATCTGACTGGACCTCCTGCGGTCCTGCTGCAGGCTCTCCAGCTAGGTAAATCAATGTTGCTCGTTTGTTTGCTTTTGCTTATGGCTCCTTTGCGGCCCGATATGCAATGATATGGCCATATATCTGTCAAGGTCCTACCTTTTCCCTGAGGTTATGTTACTCCATGTGCTGGCGTCCATCTTGGATTCTGCTGTGCATGGTGGGAATCCTTTTATGCCTTCAGGTCTCTGAGGTCCATCCCCCAGAGGGGCGTGGCTGATGACATATAAGCCTGTGGCCCGCACATGCTCTTTGCACTTGTGTCTTTGTGTTGCTATTACTCTGTTCTGACTCTCGTGACTCTCCTGGTATCCGATTCGGCTTGTGACTTGACTATTCTTTGTATTCTCCTTTGATCTGACCCTCTGTTGCTGAACCCGGCTCGTGACCTGCGATTCTCGTCTGCTGTCCTATACTGTTTTGTCCTGTTGTTTGTTGACCCCGGCCTGTCTGACTACTCTTTTGTCTCTTCCACCAACTACACGCCATTGGCGGCGGCCATTACCGCAGCTGAGGTGTCTCGGGGGCCGTGACCTGGTTCCTGGCTGCGTCAAGTCCATCCCCACCATCAGGGGCCCTGGTGAAGGGCAGCCTGGGACTTAGACTCCGCGCCCTGAGGGACTTCGGTCTGTGGGTGGTGGTTGTTGTCAGCCAGTGCGTTACATTGTTAGGCCTGCCTGTCCGTTCCTTGGCTCCTGCCCTGACAATATCCCATTGTGATTCCATATTGGCTTTATTGCCTTTGTTTTTGACACACTTTTTAGGGATTGTTTGGATGAGCTGTGATTCACAACACTGGATTGTATGGTCCGTGGAGTTTTACCTCTTCACCAACTTTCTGATAATAGCGGCTTTAATATAATCTACATCTGCCTTAACAGCGGTGGGTGTTTTACTAGATTTAATAAGTCATTATATCCCCTTTTTCTATATATGACAATGATGCTATGACTTTGTCTATTTTGGCTACTTAATGGTTACTACTGTCACTTTTTATATATAGTCTGCCTCTGTGGCTATCGGTGCGGCCTCAGTGCTCTCTTGGGGGGCCTTGGCCCGGTTGGTGCTTGTCTGGATGCGGTCTGGGGAGGAGTGATGGACTTGGTCACACATCTAATGTTTTTAATATGGCAAAAATTCAATCATTAATACTCTTTACTTGGTCTCTATCACAGCACGCCGTGAGTATTATGATTTTGACATTTATATAACAATATTGTTTACAATTGTCATTATAATTATTGTATGACTGTAATACGTGTTTCACTCCGTAGAGGCCACATGTCTTATGTACAGAGTTTTTGACCCTGAAGAAGGAGTAAACGCGTTGGATGTCACTTAGGAACTCTGTAATGTTGACACAACTTTGTATGGTATCACTGTAATCAGTGAATGTAATATCACCTACTTAATGTTTTATGGCTATCATTCATCTATATCCAATAACGTTTGATGTAACTTTTATACTTCTATATATATACTCTGGTGATGCCTATAAAGTCCTAATCAGGGGGGGTTGTTTTCGCCTATATAAATCTTGCACTTTAGGGATGTTTGGCATCTAATAGATAAACCTCAGGTTCACCTCTTATATATACTTTGAGGATAAATGTCACGGTCTTCGATTGGTGCAACTGGACCACAGCTTTCTGAAGCCTTTTACTGGCAATAAATTCACTATACTGTATACCAGTGGTCTCCAAACTGCAGCCTGGGGGCCAGATGTGGCCCTTTCCCTACCTTTATTTGGTCCTTGAGCGCTATTTCACCAACTGATGCAAATGATGGGACACCATTCCTCTTATTGACACCATCAACGAGGCACTATTCATCCCATTCATACCAACAATAAAGGGGAACTATTCTTCCCATCCATACCAACAATAGGGCACTATTCCCCCCCCATTAAAACCAATGATGGGGCATTGATGTTGAGGCATGTTCTACTACCACTGGCAAACCTCCGGACAACTTGAAGCCTAAATGACAGTAGGCTGGCTCTCTAGAAGTGGCCCTCAACCTGTAGCCCTCGGATGTGGCCCTTGATCTCAAACCAGGGAAGAGCAATGCAGCCTCCCTGTCACATTCTGTTTTACACTTGGACAGGAGGGGCAACAGGGGCAGCATATACAGGAACTGATTCTCTCTATTTTCCTCCTGCAACCACTGAAATCTGGCTTGTCCTCCTCTCCTCCCACCAGCATTCAGCAGCTGTAGGAGGAAAATGTTAATTATGCTACTGGAAAATGATGAACTTTCATTTTATTGTGGCCCTCGACTGTTTACTAAATCACTTAAGTGGCCCTCCTTCTCAAACAAAAGGGCTGCATCCAGCCCTCAGTATGGAGGCTACTGCTCTAAACCAGGCTGGATGCAGCCCTTTGTTTGCTTTTAACCGGCCCTTGGGGCACCATTTCATCCACTGACACCAAAGAAGGGGCACAATTTCCTCCAATGACACAAACGAAGAGGCACAATTCCTCTCAATGACACCAAGTTTGGGGCACAGTCCTCTCACCGACACCAAAGGTGGGGCATCTTCTCACTGATGCCGGGACCTTTTCTACTCCTGATGGCCATGGTCTGGCCCTTCTAAAGTCAGAAGGACAGTAAACTGGTCCTTTGCTTAGAAAGTTTGGAGACCCCTGCTGTATACAATGGTGCAGAGGAAAAGAGTTCAAGCAAGTGGACAGAACATCTTTTTCCTTTTTTATTGCTTTTGTATTGTTTACCTGGACTTTATTGAACTCCTTTGTGAAAGTACAGATATCCCGCCTGGCTTTTTCTTCCATTCTTTGTAATTCCATTGCTTTCTTATCAAGCTCAATTCTGTGTTTGTCATAGAGACCATCTAAAAAAGAGCAGAAAATGGCTCACAGTAATTGTTGTACAAACAAAAAAGAAATATGAAATATTCATGGCACTTACAAAAAGATCCCTGGACATGCAGGTTACTCACTGGATAAAGTATGGTGTATTTGCATGGTCTTCATGATCAAAGTGCATCTAAACCCAATGCCCTAATTTCTGACTGTATAAAAACGTGTATTTCTGTTCAATAGAGGAATTCCAGTTTTTGCAGCTAAGCTAGTGTCGCCTAGTCTTGAGTGCGATGCCCAGCTATAATACCTTGGTCCTGTATCCCACTGGCAAGGAAGCAGTTCTCTGACAGAATCACCCAATCGGGATGACAGTCGGTCCATCACATAATGTATTGAAGATTACCAGTCCATAGATATTTGGGCTGCAATAGTTTTGTTTTAACTCCTTCCCACCCGACCTATTGTATGATGACGGCCGAGCGGGAACCTTATTATCCTGGGAGAATGTCATATGACTCAGTGGTCACATGTACAGACTGGGCCAATCACAGCCCATCCATAGTATGTGATCAGCTATAGCCAACCACAGCTGATCATAACAAAAACTACTGAGTGCCCCCCATAACAAGCTGCTTGCTATAGGGACACTTGTGTGGGCTCAATCCGGAGCCAGGCTGTGTGCATCTATAGACACACACACACAATGCGGCTCAGTCCTGACAACCCCCACCTTCCTCACTTGATTTGACTGACAGCAGCAGGAGCCAATGACTCCTGCTGCTCTCAGCCAAGCCTGTGACAGGGAAGAGAGGAGAAGAGCTGCCGCAGACAGGATAGTGCTGGATCAAGGTAGATGTTTAAAGGCAAAAATGGTGGGAGCTAGTGTTGAAAGGTTTTTTTTTTACCTTAATGCATTACATTAAAAAACCTTGTACCTTTACAACTTCCTTAAACATAAAAATTCTATTCAAGTATGTATTCTTTAACTGTCAGCCACCATTTTTTTTTTCTCCTTGGCTTCAGAAAATATATATTATTTGAAAAAAGTAACTTTTTGTTAATTCCTCCTGAAAACAAGTTAATTTCCTGATATGTGAGGGTGCCTAGGCATTCCTACAGACTAATAACTGTATATCTGCAGTGTGAGATTCAAGGCACTGCCACCTCTGACTGCTAGTCTCAGAGTAAATTCACACTAAAAAGCTATTAAATTGCAGAGCAGCCGGAGTGATTCACCGATACTTAAGTTTATGGCTTTTTTACCTGTGCCTAGCCTTCTCCTGTGTTGCAACAGTTGTTAGGCCACAGATTATTCAGATTGCTGCCTGGCCTGACCTTTGCTTGGATAACAGACATAATAGCGATTGCTGCTTTCCCAAACTCTGCCTTCTGTTAGCTAGGTCTGAGAAAAGAAAAAAAAAAATCTCTCTCTCTCTCTGAGGACCATTACTAGATCACAGAATGATTATTGTAAGACCTGCTTTTTTTATTATTTTACACAGTTATAAATAATTTAAAAAAAATGTTACAAAGCTGCAGTTGAGCTTTAATAAAGGTCAGTGATAACATAACAACATAAGTTCATCTGTAACTAAATCTTACCAGCAAGCCTCTTGTCTTTTAATGCATTTTGTCGCTCCCTCTGTTGCTGGAGGGACCATTCTCTCAGCTGCTCTTGCTGTGCATCCCTTCTGTTCCTTTCTGTTAAATCTTCCCCCATAAGCTTCTGCACCCCAGAAACAGTGCAGCGAGGATCATCATCAGACACCCGCGCTGGCAGTTCTTTATTTAAGACCTGCGGGTCATATAGATCAAACTCTCTGCGGTCCTCTTTCTTCTGGAAGCAGAGCCTAAACTCATTGACGGCTTTATTTAGGTTTTGGATTTCCTCCTTTTGTCGGTTATCTAATAAGCAGGTGATCTTGTCATTCTGCACCATCTGTGCATCTAAAAGTGAAAAATGTCATTACAGCCATTTTCTTTTAGTTATAATAATGTTGCAACTGCAGCTGGGAGAGACCATGCAGCTGCTGATGGGCCCAGCAGCACAGAACACTTCATATAAATGGGCAGTTTCATAGGCCAACAGAAATGTTCAAGAACTGGAAGGTCGGATGTTGACTTTACCAAAGCAAAGCTTCCAAAGCAAAGCTCCAGAAAAAAAAAAAAAATTCAATCATTTGTACTAATGCATCAGAAGCAGTAATGTAAGCAGGGGGAAAATATATTGGTGTTAGTGGGTTAGTTACTGAACAAGGGAGAGGAGGGACAGGTAAATGACCAGATCCCTGCACTGTACAAGTGCTGGCAGTAGTTTCCAACATCAGGGAAGCTAGGAATTTTACAGTAAAGAAAAGATCCAACGCATAATCCTCAGAGGTAAAATTTGTTTGACTTGTGATATCTGCAAAGAAAAATCTTTCCCCAATAACACAAACGTTTTTTTCCCCCTAACACTAATACTTTTTTCTCCCACTGATACTTTTTTCCTCATGAATACTAATGCCCCCCCCCCCCCCCTTGCCTCCCACTGATACTATGTTTTTTCTCTAAATAATATAAATATTTTTCCACCACTAATGCCCATTAAAGTGGTTCTTAAGGCTCCATTTTTTCACCTTCATGCATTCTATGCATGAAGGTAAAAAAAAAAAAACACCTTCTGTGTGTAGCAGCCCCCCCCCCCCCAAACACTTACCCAAGCCCTATCCCGATCCAGCAATGTCCATGAGAGCCTCAGTTTTCCGAGGACTGTCACTCCTGATTGGCTGAGGCAGCAGTGGGAGTCACTGGCTCCTACTGCAGTTAATACAGCCAGTGAGCCAATCAGGAGAGGGAGGGGCAGGGCCAAGTCACGGCCGTGTGTGTGAATGGACAAGCTGCTTGCTGTTGGGGCATCCAACAGGAGAGAGGGGCCAAGAGCGCCAGCGGGAGACCTGAGAAGAGGAGGATTGGGGCTTCTCTGTGCAACACCATTACACGGAGCAGGCAAGTATGACATATTTGTTATTTCTTTGTTAAAAGCAAGACTTTTGTATCACTTTAATGCAAATGTTTCTCTCCAGCATTACCAATTTGTTTTTTTTTTTACTAATATTGTCCCCCTCCCACTTATCCTTTTTAATTCTACCACTGTCCTAAAGTAACCCACCCTCCCATATGTTTACTTACCTGTATTCCACAGCCATGTCCTGCCACAGTGTTTACATCCTTCATGGAAATCTTCTATGTTCTAACTGTGCCTTCACAATCGAACCCCAAAGCCGCTAGGGCAACATCCTGAGTGTCTTTAGATTTCCCAGGATTTAAACACTGTACCAGGCCACAGCATATAGGTAAATATATTTCTGGAAAGGGGAAGAGGGAGGGTTGATGTCTGGGCAAAAAGAATAAGTGCACTGCAAAAGGGAGCAATTTATTTAAAAACAAAAAAAAATAAAAAACATATTCATCTTAGATCCAGATGTGATCCAAAGAGGATCTTTTAATGTCAGTGAAATGCAGTCCAAAATATTAGCTTAATTCTGTAGGACTTTATTGGAGAAAGGCAATATAAGCTTTGGTGGAAGCAGTGATATTGTAAGGTATTGTAAGGAGGTGCTTTTTTGTGTGCCCAGCTACTTCGGCCTGTGATCACGGACAGCAAAGGGCCAGAATAATAATATTTCAGTTCCAATAGAGTACGGCAGGAAAAGAAACATAAGGATGAATTCCCACATCGAATGTACCCTTGCTCAGATTACATGCGAGAACCCTGGTGGGGGTTACAACTGTTAACATCAAGAGGCAGTCCTATTGAAAGCAATAGGAGGCTGCTGGCTCTTGCAGCAAATAGTTGCCACTCGCATGTAATCACATACACGTGATTGGTACGGCAGGAGCTGGCAGCCTCCCAATGATTCCAATGGGGCTGGCTCTTGCAGATAAAGTGGTTGTATAGACTGAAGGTTTTTTACCTACATGCATTCTATGCATGAAGGTAAAAACCCTTCAATGTTTTCTCTCTTCCGATGACGGTTCTTGGGGTCGTTGTGTCTTTCCGGCATATACACTTCACCTGCCCTAGCAATGCTCTGATGATACATCTAGGTGACAATTGAAATGTACCGCTATAGTATGGATAACCCCCATTCTCTCTCTCCTCTTTTATGACTTTCTTCTAACTTTCCTTGCAGATTTCTTTTTACTATACAATATCTCTTTGAAAAAGCTTTTCATTGTTAAATTGGCTTTAGGGTCAAATAAGCACAGTAATTCTGTGAGCTGTTACTTTTCTTTTTCTCTTATATGGTAGGGCATGTTACACTGGTATTTTTTCCCCATTTTTCTTAAGCCGTTACATTTCAAAATGTGTCAGTGAACCGTTTCTGCACTCGGTCTCAGCCTTTTGCAACTATAATATGTATATTGCCCTTTCTAGTATTCTGCCACGACTGAATGCTGTACTTTGTATTACGCTGTACAAACTTTTCTGACATTCTCGATATTTGGCTCTGTATTTTTGTATCTCATTTGTCATTAAAACTCTTATGGACATACGGGCCAGCTTGGGAGTGAGCATGCATAAATGCCCCCAGAGCAAGCAGCTTGATCTGGGGGCACTTGGCAGGGGATGGAGGGGCCAAGAGTGCCGATGGGGGACCTGAGAAGAGGAGGATTGGGGCTGCTCTGTGCAAAACCATTGAACAGAGCATGTAAGTATTGTGACTGGCGCGGCATCAGACCTCAGCCCTTCTCATCAACTTGTGACCGAAAGACCAGCCAATCTAAAACCGCGCTGCCGCTTGCGTAACAATGCCACTCTCAGCTGCACCCTACACAAAGATTTTCCAGCTCACTGGACCACAATCTGTGTGCCAGCAGCCTGAGAGCGATTGTTACTAGTTCAGATTAATTACGAAATTAACCCTTCACATTGCCACCACCACCTTTTTACAGAGAAGGAGGAAACTCACAAATATTAGCAGTAACACTATGATGTTTGAATAAGCGTCTGTATACACACTGTAACCGCAGACAGATGTATCCAGAGGTTTTAAAACACAGAGTAGCACTCTCCAGAGACAGGGATTCTTAGTTTGCATTAAAGAGCTTTAGAAACAGTTCAAACACTTTTCAGAAAATAGGATTTATTACAAAAAAGGTCAAAATGGTGCAATAAAAATATTTACAGAAAAGATGTAGCCTATATATATATATAGATATATATATAGATATATATATATATATATATATATATATATATATATATATATATATATATATATATATATATATATATATATATATAGATAGAGAGAGGGGGGGAGGAAGAGGGAGAGAGAGGAGAGAGAGAGAGAGGGGGGAGAGAGAGAGAGAGAGAGAGCAATAACACAACAGAGAGATAAAAGAAAGAAGTTTAGGAAGGTAGGATACTTGCAGAAGTCCTTGGTTTAAGTAGAGTCAAAGTGTCCTGAACAAAAGGGTACCTTTTCTCCCAAAGATGGTTCCTGATGTTAAAAGGGAGAATCTCTTCATCATTCTCTCCAGGCATGACAACCTTTTCTAGTGTCCCAGCAGGGGGTGTCTACTGCAGCCAAGGGCCAATCGCCTCATTTGGTGAGGGGTGTTAGGCGGAGACCCAGGCTGTGACCCAAATCCCACCAAGTTTATACCATGGCCAATAACCTTCCAGGTACATGTAGCATCCTATCCACTGGTAGAATAATATGCAGAATCATATTCTGAACGTCCAGACACCAAATATGACATATCTTACCGCTCCAGATAAGAACATATTGTTTTCTACTAACGTGTAGACGCCACATAGGGGTGTAAGGTGTCAGGTGACTCGTATTAAAATGACTTTTCTGAATCAATGCTTTGTTTTATTGTACCTTGTTTCTGTCAGTATTTATGAATTTGTATGAAAAACTGATTCAAGTGGGATGTAGTTTTACTGCCACTCCGGAATGCTTTTCATGTCCAGTGACTGACTGATTTATAGCTTTATGACCAGGCCAAGGCAAGAGTCTGACAGACATCATGGGACCAGCTAATTGGGTTTACAACCATGAAGCGTATCCAGCTGTGCCTGATGCACTTGTGACCCCAGCATACACACACACCACATGCCATCAAAAAAAAAAAAAAAAAAAAGGGAGGGGGAAGACTGAGTGAGAATGACATTTGCAGAGTATGATACAAGATGGTAGATCTTATCAAAATGGTTGTCCGTGTCCAATCGCCACAAGTATGACATGTGGTTTTTTTAATTAAAATAAGCTTTACAACCACTTGATTCCTGGTAATCCCTACTGGGGTTCTCACATAATTGGTGTTTGGGTGCATTCGCAAGTGTGAATGCATTCTAAGATAGGTAAGAAAAAAAGAGACAGGAGAAGAGGGATAGAAGAGGCGAAATGCCATGGCATACCACAGGCATCCTAAAATTCAATCTAGGTGCCTGGGATATCATAGGTCATTTAGGATGGGAAAACCCCTGTCCTAAAGGTAAGAAAGGATGGGCTTCCAATCTTCAGGACACTGTCAGGGATCATAAAGCTTCCTACCTTACACAACTTTGAGGGGTTTGAAAGAGAAGCAACTAAAGATTTATGTGGGAAAAAGAGGAATTTGTAACTCATCACACAAATGCTCTGCTTTCAAGCACAAATGTCATTGACTAACCAAATGCCTCTTGTCTTTGGTTTTCAGTCTGCTCCAGCGTTTTCGTATCACGTACTTGGTGATCCAAGGCATCTTTATCAACCTAAAGGATATTAAAACAGAATCCTGTTATGCTCTACGCAGATATACAACTTTATAACCCCAAAATAACCTGACCGATGATCTCAATAAAGATGATCATAATGCAATTCCATTACACATTCTACAATTATAACTCATTACACCTCCAGAATGCTCTTACTAAAGCATGTAGTTAGATTTAGTTTAGTATTATTATTATTATAATAATACAGTATTTATAAAGCGCCAATAGTTCACTCAGCGCTGTACATTACAAAAGGGGGACAGAACATGTGACAGAACAATACCAATACAATGCAAAACATGAGGGGATCGAGGGCCCTGCTCTTTCGAGCTTACAATCTAGAAGGGACGGGATAGTGGTACAGGAGGAGATAGCTGTGGGGGATGGAGTGGTAGGAAGAGTGGAGGAGGTCAGTCAAGTTAGCAGGGGGTAGGGTAGGCTTCCCTGAAGAGATGGGTTTTCAGGGTGCGCCTAAAGGAGAGGAGAGTAGGTGATAATCTGATGGGTTGGGGCAGGGAGTTCCAGAGGATGGGTGACACCCTGGAGAAGTCCTGGAGGCGGGCATGGGATGAGGAGCCCAGGGAACTAGAGAGAAGGAGGTCTTGTGAGGAGCGGAGTGTGCGTGCTGGGCGGTACTTGGATATTAGGTCAGTGATGTAGTTCGGGGCAGTATGGTGGACAGCTTTGTACGTCAGTGTTAGGATTTTAAATTTGATCCGTTGCGCAATCGGAAGCCAGTGGAGGGGATTGGCAGAGGGGGGTGGCGGAAACGGAGCGGTTGGAAAGGTGAATGAGTCTGGCAGCCGTATTCAGGATCGACTGAAGCGGGGATAGCCAGCGGCGAGGCAGGCCAGTGAGGAGGGAGTTGCAGTAGTCGAGTCGTGATACGATGAGGGAGTGGATGAGCTGTTTAGTGGTATTATAATACAATTTTGTTATAGTCCAGTACAGAAGTGTGCCAAGTTTTTTTTGTTTTATGCTGAAAGTTTGACTGAACTTTCAGCTTAAATCAGGAACAGACAAATCCCAGGCACCAAGTCGCTATGGTGACTAGAAATTGTGCCCTGGCTCCTAGGCTTTTGTCAGCTCATTCACTGTTGGTCTGAATAACATGTCCACCTGAAATCTGGAAAGGTTATTCAGAAAGGAACGTGGCTTGCAGCAGGGCCTGGAGGGAGGGTGAGGGAAGTGGAGGAGAAGGATGATGATGCAGCGGCACCCGACCTGTGAAGTCAGACGCGGACTGGCCTGGGTGGGGCGGACAGCTGCCAAGCACATCACTGAGCTCCCGCTGCTGATCTTTTTAATACTCCTTTCCATGGCCGCATTACTGTCAGCATCAGCTCTTGCTTCCACTCACTGCTGCCTGTGTCCCTGCAGAGCCCTCTGGCAGAACAGAGAGGAAGGAGTGGGACCGAATCTCAAAACATGCCTCCACCTCGGCACTGCCACAAAGAAGCCACCAAGGTGCTGAGAAAAAGGACTACAGTGTCCTTACAGTAGTGAACAGTGACATCCAGCACAGCAGCCAGCCAGTGAAGGACATGTTGCTTTATGCACATAGCTGCCCTCGGTATTCACTCTGTTCCCAGACACTGCTGGGGAGGACACACAGAACATGTAAGAGGACAAAGTGGGGGATTGCATTACTGTCCTACACCCTGCAGCCAATGTCCTGTGTTCTGCACCCTTCTCCTGCACCCCATGTCCTGCACTCCATGTCCTGTGGTGACCTGCACCCTTCTCCGGTACCCTGCACCCAATGTTCTGCATTTGGCACCCCTCTCCTGCGTTCTGCACCCAACAAACATGTCTTGCACCCCAGGTCCTGTATTCTGCACCCTGCACCTCACAAATTACTTGCCTTTCCCCAGACACTGACAGCCCACACTATGCTATAAAAAAATTAATCAGTTCCTAACTTTTTTAGCTGGCTCTTAGATTCAAAGCAAATTTGTCAAGCCCTGGTTTAAATCACCTAAATACATTCGGGTGCAACCAAATAAAAAGAGTTTATATTCTTTAGAAAGCAGCTCACAGCCTGAGTAGAAAAGCCAGACCCCTGCCAGCATGCTGCTCTACGTGTGTTTAGGTCCTTTTTCGCAGCATGCTGGCAGGGGACAAGCTTTTCTACTCAGGTTGTGGCTACTCAAAATAAACTGCAAGGTGTTACGCACCTTTTGTTATGATGTACCTGGAATGTATTCAGCCGATTAACCTAAAAGATTAATTGTGCTCCAAGCTATCAGTGTGCTACCACTTTATATTCCCAAATGTTTTGGATATTGACAGAACCCCGTTAAAGAAATAAAATTTCATTGAGCTAAGAACCCATCAAATTACTGAAATGTCCTTTGCGGTCCTCACAAATAGATATTTTGCCAGGGCCATATTGTTCTCCGGATTACAATACAGCTCTCTGGTGCCCTCTGCTGTTCAAGTTCATTTTATTTTTTGCAAAGAAATACTGTTAACCAGCAAGTAGTAACAAAAAGCAGCACAATTGTATGCTTGTTTTTCATGTGGTTTTGGGTACAAAACCATTGACTTCAATTAGACTGTGCGTTTTCATGAAAGAGCATCAAAGTTCTGCATGCTGGATCTTTGATGCGCTTTCAGAAAATGCAAAAACAGGCATATAGTCACACTGTGCCCAAACCACAGCACGAGGGTGTGAACCAAGCCTAAATTGGCGGTAAGATGTGTGTACGGGACTAAAAGTCCAACTGCAGCCTTCTATTGCAGAAACCTGTGGTCAACCCAGCTCTAGTATGCATTTCACTGAAAAAAAAATAAAATAAATAAAGAGATTTTAAGGTTAGACGTCCACTGTTGATCACAAAGTAGCCATAGTGGATAAGATGGGATGGAGAAAAGGAAAATCTACGGGTCTCAGCCTCACCAAATATTCAGTGTGACAGCAAATTTGTCGCTCTAACTCAGTCTGGTCATTTGTATCATATTGCTCCAAGAAGCATTTACAATGTGCGCCTTTTAAAATGAACAACATTGACAAGGTTGGCTCAACATGTGCTAATGTAGTGCTCACCCCAGCAAGGGCCCGCTGATTTGGTCCCAAGGTTCTTTCCCCGGCAGATGCTACTAGCAGCCAGGCAGTCTTAGTCACTCTGCCAGCTCAATGACTAGACTAGGGGTATTATTTTCAAAGCTTATTGCAGATTAACGTGAACTTGGATGGGTGCAGGGCAATTGTGGGATACTCCAGCAACACTAAGTAGAACTCGAGGACACCTATCTTCCTTCCTAAGTATCCATAGTCCTTGCAGCAGCAAATAATGTGCTAAGCTACAGAGTGACATCAAGAACAATGTTCACCATCAGTACAAGCTGACTCTGATGCATGAGGGACAGCAGCAGCACACAGTCACTGGGACCTCACACACAGGTGTGTACTCACTAATGTCCTTGGATAATTGGACTCTTCTCCTGCAAATCCTCCAGACCAGATAGCCAAACGAAGTCCCTCTGTCAGCTCCAATAAAATTCTGCAGCAGAACAGCCCCCCCAACGAATCAGCTGGGACTTTAATGAGCAGTAGAAAAGCACAGCTGGACTTCCCAGAAGGGCAGAATCCCATCAAACTGGGATCTCCTCCTGGACAAGAACTCCTCTATTCCAAGCCCCCAACTAGTTATGCTCCCTCCCAGCCACCATCCGGACACTCTTTCCCCAGGGATTGGTCAGGACTGCATAAATATTCAGCTACAGATTTTGACTCTCCCAGCCCACTACTTTCCAAAACCCTCCAGAAGGCTGGGGAAAGCAGTCAAACCTGTAACCCAGTGAGACACAAAACAGCTCAAAATAATCACAAGCTACACAACTGATTACAGTAGAGCTAAGAATTAAATTTACCTAACTCAGCACCTATCTAGGAGGGTGCTACACAAAGTTGCGGCCTCAATTACCGGCCAGCCAAACCTCTTGGTCTGTGCACACATGGGGGGTCCACATGGGGAGACCAAATCCAGACCACTGCTGCAGTGTAACCAAGGCGCTATGACACAATTTCCAATCGCCATGGTGACCTGGGATTTGTCTAGCCCTTTGCCATGAAGGCTGAACACCCTGACCATGAGCAGGAATGATGTCATCCTGGACTAGCCAGTGAAGATGACCTCCAACCCAGCACCCGGAAGAAACTGGAAAGAAGATGCCAATGCGGCAGAGGGACATGTAAACTGTCACTTCCAATTCCTGATGTCACTTTCCCTGGCCCTTGAAGCCAGGGAAGAAGCTAATGGAATTCAATCAGCATGTCATTATTATTTTTATACAGTATTTATATAGCACTAAAAGGTTTGCTCAGCGCTGTACATTATAGTGGGGGACAGTACATGAGACAATACAGAAACAAAACACGAGGGATTCAAGGGCCCTGCTCTTTCGAGCTTACAATCTCATTAGCTCTAATTAAAAGGCAGGGGAAACATCAGGTTCCAAAAGAGCCCTGATGTCTCATTAGAGAGAACCCATCTTAAAAATATATCATATAGGTAAAGTTTTTTGTCTTCTATGTAATAAAAATAAAGTTTTAATAAAAGTAGAAACAAACATTTAAAAAAATAAAGTTACACTCAAGCACTTTAAACCCCCACCCAAAAATATTTGAGCCTGCCCTAACCCTCTTGGGGTGTACAATCTAAGGTCTCTAATCCACATTGATTCATATACATACAATGGCCAATTTAGACAGGAACCAATTACCCTACCAGCATGTCTTTGGAGTTTTGCAGGTTTGCACAAATTTAAAGCTTGACAAGTTGTTAGGTATGTACTTACTCAGCGCAACCTCATATTTTAAAAATGGGTAATCTCTTGCATTTTTGCACCCTAAAATGAGCTTAGGACAGAACTAAATATATCAATTTAACAGTTTCCAAAACTAGGTAAATTCCCAGTATGTTGGGAATGCCCACTGTCACATTTGCTTGTGCTCGCAACCAAACTGTCAACCATCAAATGGTTGGTGACATAGCTGATGACATTTCTAGCATCATGACAGTTGCAGATCAAACAGAGCCTAGGATGGCAACTTCCTTGGTTGAAAAGAATAGGAGGGTTTAGTTCCACTTTAAATGTACACTTTATTGCCAAAAGTATTGGGACGCCTGCCTTTACACTTGCATGAACTGTAATGGCATCCGTAGGGTTCAATACTGAGTTGGACCAACATTTGCAGCTATAATAGCTTCAACTCTTCTGGGAAGGCTGTCCACAAGGTTTAGGAGTGTGTCTATGAGAATGTTTGACCATTCTTCCAGAAGCGCATTTGTGAAGTCGGGCACTAATGTTGGCCGAAAAGGCCTGGCTCGCAGTCTCCACTCTAATTCATTCCAAAGGTGTTCTATCTGGTTGAGGTCAGGACTCAAGTTCCTGCACCACAAACTTGCTCATCATGTCTGTATGGACCTTGCTTTGTGCAGTGCCGCGCAGTCATGTTGGAACAGGAAGGGGCCAAACCCAAACTGTTCCCACAAAATTGGAGCATGAAATTGTCCGAAATGTCTTGGTTTGACTGACATCTTAAGAGCTTCCTTAAGCCCAACCCCTGAAAAACACCACACTATAATCCCCCTGCACCAAACTTGGCACAATGCAGTCAGGCAAGCACCGTTCTCCTGGCAATTGCCAAACCCAGACATGTCCATCGGATTGCCAGACAGAGAAGCGCGATTCGTCACTCCAGAGTACAAATCTCCACTGCTCTACAGTGCAAGTGGTGGTGTGCTTTGGAGGTCTTTAGCTATTGACTCTGCAGACAGTTGGCGACTTCTACGTACTGTGCGTTTCAGCATGCGCTGACCCCACTCTGTCATTTTACGTGGCCTATCACTTCATGGCTGAGTTGCTGTTGTTCCCAGTTGCTTCCACTTTGTTATACCGGTAACAGTTGACCGTGGAATATTTAGTAGCAAGGAAATTTCATGGATGGACTTATTGCACAGGTGGCATCCTATCACGGTAGCACGCTTGAATTAACTGAGCTTCTGAGGGAGACTCATTCTTTCACAATTGTTTGTAGAAACAGTCTGCATGCCAAAAGGTACTTGATTTTATATACCTATGGCCATGGAGGTGATTGGAACACCTGATTTGGAAGGGTGTCCCAATACAGTAGTTTTTACTATAACGTTGTGCTTGATAAATCATTGTGCAAATATCATGTGACATAAATAAACTGGAGCTACAGCCATTTTATTTTCCAGGGTCTCTGCTTTCAGATATCATCTAAATGTTTGCGACTAATAATCAGACCTAAAATGATTTAACAGGTTTGCAAAAAATTCAAACATAGCTCAAGCAGCAAAAGGGTTAAAGGATAGATATTAATATAAAGATTAACTTTCTATTAATGTGCTTTGATACAGCACTTTGGGAACATCCAACCTCTTTTGCAATTACCTTTTGAGGCTTTCCCTCCTTATGGAGGGTGTCAATGATGGTTTTCTGCACAACTGTCAGGTCAGCAGTCTTTCCCATGATTGTGATTCCTACTGAACCAGACTGAGAGACCATTTAAAGGCTCAGGAACCCTTTGCAGGTGTTATGGCTTAATTAGCTGATTAGAGTGGGACACTTTGAGCCTAGAATATTGCACCTTTTCACAATATTCTAATTTTCTGAGATTGTGGATTTGGGGTTTTCATGAGCTGTAAGCCATAATCATCACAATTATTACAAATCATGGCTTGAACTATCTTGTTTTGCATATAATGAGTCTATCTCATATATTAGTTTCACCTTTTAAGTTGCATTACTGAAATAAATGAACTTTTGCACGATATTCTAATTTTTCACGTTTCACCTGTATGTCCAATGCACAGCCGGTGCAAATTCAGTGTGATTTTAAAGACTCCTATCCAATTTCTGAGCAGTGGCTTCAGGTGCGGATTACAGGCTATTGACTTCTATAGGATCTGTTCCTAAACCACACGTGTGAATAGGATAATATCCTGTCCTGAACCTGATGTAAACCTGACATGAACCTGTGAACAACTACTGTATCAATTAGCTGTGGAACCTGAGCTTCAATCCACTCTTCATATGTGTGAATCAGCTCTTTTAAAAGCGCCCCCAAATGAATCTAATAAATATGCGTGCTTGTGGCCACCAAGACATAAGGTACTGCTGTACTTTTTGTGTGCTTCTGCATGTTTGGCAGCCCACTTAAATATATTATGTGAACACTGCATTTTCATCCCCCGGTCTCCCCCGCAGCCAGTCCAGTGATTTGAACTCCCCACTCTTTTCCCTCTCCACTGTGCAGCACTTTGGGGATGGATCAGAGTGAAGCTCTGTGATGGTGCCGGCCAATCTGAATTGCTCTGGTCTGTCGCGGGAACACTGCTGGACTAGTTTCTTGGGCATGGACAGCTTAGTGTCTCTGGAGGCAAGTAAAATGGAGAGCTGAAGGGGGTGGGCAAAGGGGGAGTTGGGTTTTGTGTTTGGTATTAGTTCGCCTAAACATTTTTTTCTGTAAGGCCCCATTCACACCTGCGCATTCCTGAAATATACACAGAAATGCACTTGTGGAGCCATTTATTCTTAGTGTACCCAAAAGCGGCTAGCAGACATTTGTCTTGACGAGTGACAAAGGCATCAAAACACATGGTAATAAAAACAAAAAGGTGTGGAAGCTTCTTTGATCTGCATAGGGCAGCCCCTATGTGTGTTGTACAAAACACCCAAAAACGCATGAAAGAAACTGCATGCAGGAACACGCGTTCCTGTGATGACTAGTGTGAATGGGCTTCCCAGTGCTGTTGCGCGATAAATTTTATAAAAAAAAAAAAATGTGCACAGGTGTAAATGGGGCAGAGAGGTGAACTAAGGCTGGCCATACATTATACAATTTTCTTTCGAATTTTGGTTTAAATTTACCAAAAACCATATAATATAAGGTCAAAACTAACAACACTTTCAGTTGTATCCAATTAGGCAGGCACTTGCACTACATAGTTGAAGGTAAATCTAAAAGGAAATTGGACAGAAAATTGAATAGTGTAAGGCCAACCTAACACATTGCAGGACAGGGTCTCGGAAAAAAAAAACAGAATAGCTGAAGCTGGGCTTCAAATATTACTTTAATGCAGGCCATAGACGGGGAGAAAACCGGACGTTTTTTTTTTTAGAAAAACGAAAAAAAATCGGTCGTTCAATCAGCCGACGTTACCACCACTGGTAAAAAAAAAGTCGGCTGATTTTCGTCACGTCTACGGCCGGCAATTAATATAATAAATAGTGTCCCTGCAGAGAGCTCCGCTATTATATTTGACATTTAAAAGAAGAAATACAATTTGAAGAAGAAAAGAAGAAATAGAATATGCAGAAGAAGAAGAAATAGAATATGAATAAAAAGAAGAAATAGAATATGCAGAAGAAGAAATAGAATATGAAGAAGAAGAAATAGAATATGAAGAGGAAGAAGAAATAGAATATGAAGAGGAAGAAGAAATAGAATATGAAGAAAAAGTTGCAACATTGTACCTATTTGTATCCATTTCGGATACAGATGTTTCTATTTGGATACAAATAGATACAATGTTGCTATACTCTTAAATGTCAAATATAATATCAGACTGAAATTCTTTTTTTTTCTTCTTCATATTCTATTTCTTCTTCTTCATATTCTATTTCTTCGTCTTTATATTCTATTTCTTCGTCTTTATATTCTATTTCTTCTTTTTTATTCATATTCTATTTTTTTTCCTTTTCTTCTTTCATGTCACTGCTCATGCGCATTTTTTAAAATCGGTAAAAAGATCGGCTGATTTGTCCATCATTGCCATGAAAATCGGCAGAACGACAAATTTGGCCGATTATTTTCCAGCAGGACCGATAATCCAAAAGGGCAAAAATCACGAAAAACAGACGACCGATTACCGCACTAACGATCCGAAGATCGGCCAATTTTTATTGGCCGTTTTTCGTCCCATCTATGGCCCGCATAAGAGCCCTTTCACAGTCATATGACTTGTCTTGCGACTTTGGGGTGAAAAGTCGCATGACAAGTGGCCCTCCCCCCATGTTTGACAATGGGTACCATTCATATCTTCAAGTCACAGCAACCTCAAAGAAGTTCCTGTACTACTTTGTTCTGATTTTCATGCAACTTGAGAGCCATAGACTTCAATGTAGACCCTTCAAAGTCACATGAAAGTCGCACCTGACTGTTGTACATGCAACTTGTGTGCGACTTTGTACAGGAGAAACAATTATCCTTGGAGAAAGCCAAAGTCGCGCACTCACCCAAAGTCACACTATAAAGTCAAAATGAAAATCGCAGGATTTTGAAGTGGCACGTGTGAATGGACCCTTCGCTGTAGTGATTCTTTCACTTCCTATTTCAGTGATGAGATGGGAACAAATCTGCAGCCCCTGGGAACCAGAGACTAGGGCAATGGCCGCGCTGAGGCTGCAGCTCAATGTGGTGATGATACCCCCCAGTCTGTCTCACCCCGATGGTCCTGACTCTGGCGTCGAAGACCCGGCTCTGCCTCTGCAGCTCGGCATCCCTTCTCCTCTGCAGCACGGTCGCCTCCTTCATATCCACGGGCAGATCCAACTTCTGCATGTCTCCCGTCTATAGCCTTTCCCAGCGTCACACACAGCAAACAGAAACGGTCGCTCGGCAACCATGGTTGCGCAGTGAGAAGGCGTGACGTTTCCGCGCCAGCGCTGTCTCCACAGCTCTTCACACCGCTTCCCGCGAATCTCCACTCTTGAGTCTCGCGAGATCTCGTTCCCGCCCAGGCGCCGCTCTGGGAGAGGAGTGACGGCTGCTGGCGGGAACAGTTTGTGGCGTGTGGTGCGGATCGCTCACCGGGCAAATGGGATACCTCAGTCACCTCGTCCTGCAGGACTTTAAATCCTGGCGAGGCCGTCAGATCATAGGGCCCTTCAAACGGTTTAATTGCGTCATTGGCCCCAATGGTTCAGGTAAAGGTTCGACAGGCCTATGGTGTTGCCAGGCAAGGCCCTGGTAATGACATTTACTGAGGTAACCTTTGGCCATGTTAGGACTAGAAGGCCCCCAGGGCCTGAAAGCTGCTTTAGGACTCCCATGAAGTTATTTTTATTTGGTGTTAAAGTGTAATTCTTTGCAAATTTGTAATCCATTTTTATAGAGTAAAGCATGGTTCACATCTGTGCGGGTGGTGCTGCTGCGGGACCCGCAAACATACCTGCAGCTGCACCACCCACACAGAAATGCGGGACCTGCACACAAACATGCAGCTGCACCACCCACACAGGCATGCAAGACTCGCACACATACCTGCAGCTGCACCACCCACACAGGAATGCAGGACCTGCACACATACCTGCAGCTGCACCACCCCACACAGGAATGCGGGTCCCGCACACATACCTGCACCACCCACACAGAGGAATGTGGGACCTGCACACATACCTGCAGCTGCACCACACAGAGGAATGCAGGACCTGCACACATACTTGCAGCTGCACCACCCACACAGGAATGCGGGACCTGCACACATACTTGCAGCTGCACCACCCACACAGGAATGCGGGTCTCGCACACATACCTGCAGCTGCACCACCCACACAGGAATGCAACACACCTGCAGCTGCACCACCCACACAAAGGAATGCGGGACCCGCACACATACCTGCAGCTGCACCACCCACACAGAGGAATGCGGTACCTGCACACATACCTGCAGCTGCGGGACCCACACACATTCCTGTAGCTGCACCACCCACACAGGAATGTGGGATCTGCACACATACCTGCAGCTGCACCACCCACACAGAGGAATGCGGACCTGCACCACCCACACAGAGGAATGCGGGACCCACACATACCTACAGCTGTACTACCCACACAGGAATGCAGGACCTGCACACATAACTGCAGCACCCACACAGAGGAATGCAGGACCCGCACACATACCTGCAGCTGCACCACACCACCCACACAGAGGAATGCGGGACCCGCACACATACCTGCAGCTGCGGGACCCGCACACATTCCTGTAGCTGCACCACCCACACAGGAATGTGGGATCTGCACACATACCCTGTAGCTGCACCACCCACACAGGAATGCGGGATCCGCACACATACCTGCAGCTGCACCACCCACACAGAGGAATGCGGGACCTGCACACATACCTGTAGCTGCACCACCCACACAGAAATGCGGGACCTGCACACACACCTGGAGCTGCACCACCCACACAGAGGAATGTGGAACCCGCAGGTAGGTGTCATTCTAATGGCATGCTGCCCGCACTGGTGATCGCACCTGTATTGGGAACCTCGGTTCCCATTCAGGCTGCGATTTCACAAGTAGTGCAGGGACTGCTTCCCTGCGTGTGCCAGGGCAAACGAGTCCATTCAAATGACTGCGCTCCCGTGCAAATCACAGCCTGCATGGCCACACGTGAACCCCTGGCCTAAGAAAGGGATATAACCACTGTTTTTTTTTTCTCTCCAGCCATGACTTTTGGGGCAATTTCTCTTCAAGTAGAACTATAGGCAAAACCTTTTTTTGTCATTTTGGATAGAGCAAAGGAGGGTTATAACCTGTCAGATTTTTTTTTTTCCCCATCTTTGTCCCATTGTGGAGATATCCATCACTTCCTATCCTATGCTGTGTTATAATGTAGCATTAGCTACTTACAGTATTGTGGAGCAGTGTATGGCAGCATTACTGGTAACTTCCCATCAGCTGCCAGAACAAAATGACATCTAAATGCTTCTCCACCATTCAGGAGAAGCCTTGTATTTTTGTCAATAAATGCAAGGCTTCCCCTTATTGGCCAGGGTAAAAAAATTGTGATGCTACCCATCTCTCCATCTTGGCCAATCGGAGGAGGCCTTGTATTCATTGCTAAAAAGGGGAGGTTCATGCTGCTGCGGAGTACAGCTTATGCTTATGGTACAGCATACACAGCAGCTGCATCAATAATGGAAATATTTCATTTGGGTCAGACTGGCTGTTTAAAGGGTAACTCCTCTTTTGGGGGAAAAAAAACAGCAAATAAAAAAGGGTAGTGGTACACCAAAATGAAGATTCTTTGACTGAAACCGAAAATTCAGTATGCATTTGACCAAAAACCAAAATGGACAGTATTTAAAAAAAAATGTGTGTGTGTGTATATATATATATATATATATATTATTAATATATTCTCCTTTTTAATTTATATGAATTTATTTTCAACACCTTTTTGGCCTGTAGGCTGCTTTCACACTGAGCAGTTTTTGCAGCGCTTCACTTGCGGTGTTAAAAATCCTGTTTGCTGCACTTTTGGTGCATGTTTGGTGAGTTAAAAAAAAAACACACCAAAAACCCATTGAGGCCTGGTTCACACCAATGCGGTTTTTAGGGCTTTTTTGCAGAAACGCCCTACAGTCCATTTAGCATGGTTTCCTATGGGACACGTTCACATCTATGATTTTTTTGAGCTGCTGCGTTTTTGGAAGGGGTCGGGGACTTTTTAAAATGCAAAATGTTGCATTTTTTGTTTTGACTTCAAAGGAGGCGCTGAAGAAAACACATGTAGTGCATTTTTGGTGCGGTTTCAAGCATTTGCTGTGTTTTTTGATGCGTGTTGTGTATTTATGTGCTAAATGCATCAAAAATGTGCGTGTAAAAACGCACTGCAAAACGGACAAAATGCAAACTGCATTGGTGTGAATCAGGCTTGAAATGCATTGCAAAAGTAGCAAAAATGCATAAAAACCACACGTTGTGGTTTTGATACGTTTTGTGTTTTTAATCTGCCCAGCAACAAATTGGCCAAAAAAATAAAAAACTGCATCAGCAAATGTGTCGAAAACGCACTACAAAACAGTCAAAACACAAACTGCATTGGTGTGAACCAGGCCTGAAATGCATTGAAAACACATAAAAAACGCACACTTACTGCATTTTTGATGCCTTTTTAATCTGCCCAACAGCAAGTTGGCCAAAAATTTAAAAAAAAAAAACTCAGGCACCAAATAAGCATCAGAAATGTGAATACAAAGCGGACAACGCAGACTGCATTGGTGTGAACCAGGCCTGAAAGTAATTGAAAATGCAAAAAAAATGCACATGTTGTGCTTTTGCTGCATTTTGTGTTTTTAATTTGCCCAGCAACAATGTTGTCCAAACTAAAAAAATGTGCATACAAAACGCAAAGTGCATTCATGTGAGCCAGGCCTGAAATGCATAAAAAATGCACGTATTGCATTTTTGATGCTTTTTTTTAACCACCTTCCATCTGCCATATAGTCCAATGACGGGCGCAAGGTGGTTTCTCGTTCTGATAGGACGTCCTATGACGTCCTTCCATTCGCACCGCGCATGCGCGGCTCAGGGAGCGTGCAGCGCGGCGATCGAATCCTTCGGACACAGCGGATCACGGAAAGAGCCGAAGATGTCGGCTCGGTCATGAGATCAGCTGTGTCCAATCACAGCTGATCACATGTAAACACGGAAATGCCGGTTATCGGCATTTCTCTCCTCTTGATCTGTCACGCTGACAGCTCGAGAGGAGAGCCGGTAATCAGCTTTCCGTGGAGGGGACATGTACACTGATCATCAGGGCACTGATGATCAGTGTGGCACCAGAAGTGCCACCTGTCCGTGTCCATCAGTGCCAGCAGTCAGTGCTCATCAGTGCCACATCAATGCCACATATCAGTACACATCAATGCCACATATCAGTGCCCATCTGAGCTGCCTTTTAACTAGTTGCCGACCGCAGATAGCCGAATGACGGCTAAACTGCGGCCGGCCAGTTCTGAGTGGACGTCATATGACGTCCTCCCAGAACGCGCTCTCCTGCACGCCCCAGGGGGCGCACACCCGGCGATCTCCGTGATCGCTGTGTCCTACGGACACAGCTGATCACGTGATGTGGTAAAAGGCCACTCATACCGGCCTTTTACCACGTGATCAGCGGTGTCCAATGACACGCTGATCACAGGGAAATGCAAGTGCCGGTTCTCGGCTGCACTTTCCTCACGCTGTCAGATTGTGAGGAAAGTACTGCCGAGAACCGGCAGTTGTCAGAGCGGGGATCGACACCGATCATCAGGGCACTGATGATCAGTGCCCTGATGATCGGTGCCCAGCAATGCCACCCGCAAGTTCCGCCCACCTGTGCCCAGCAGTGCGCCCACTAGCTCCGCCCACCTGTGCCCAGCAGATCACCCACCTGTGCCCAGCAGTGCACCCACCTGTGCCACTCTGCAGTTCCACCTACCTGTGCCCAGCAGTGCCACCCACTGTGCCCTGTGCCACCCACCAGTGCCACCCACCTGTGCCCACCCACCAGTGCTGCCCACCAGTGCCACCCACCAGTGCAGCCTAGCAGTGCTGCCAGTCAGTGCCACCAGTCAGTGCCCAGGGGTTGTGCCAGTCAGTGCCGCCAGTCAGTGCCCAGCAGTGATGCCAGTCAGTGCCGTCTATCAGTACCCATCATCAGTGCCGCCTGTCAGTGCTGCATATTAGTGCCGCCTATCCGTGACACCTCATTAGTGCTGTCTATCAGTGCCGCCTATCCGTGCCACCTCATTAGTACTGCCTATCAGTGCCCTTTAGTGCTGCCTATCAGTGCCCATCAGTGCTGCCTCATCAACGCACATCAGTGAAGGAGAAAAAATACCTGTTTGAAAAATTTTATAATAGAAACAAAGAAACTTTTTTTTTTTTTTCAAATTTTTTGCACTTTTTTAATTTATAGCGCAAAAAGTTGATCAAATGATCAAAATTTCATATGGGTACAATGTTGCATGACCGCGCAATTGTCAATCAAAGTGCGGCAGCGCTGAAAGCTGAAAATTGGCCTGGTAAATAAGGGGGTATAAGTGCCTGGTAGGCAAGTGGTTAATGTCACCCGTCAGTGCCACCTATCAATGCCAATCAGTGCCGCCTATCAGTGCCGCTTATCAGTGCCAGTCAGTGCTGCCTATCAGTGCCAGATATCAGTGTCATGTATCAGTGCTGCCTTTCAGTGCCCATCAGAGATGCCTGTCAATGCCCATCAGTGCAACCTACCAGTGCCTCCTCATCAGTGCCACCTATCAGGGTCCATCACTGCAGCCTCATTAGCGCACATCAGTGAAGGAGAAAAATCACTTATTTACAAAATTGCATAACAAAAACTACGAGAAAACTTTTTTTTTTCAAAATTTTCAGTGGTTTTTGGTCTGTTTAAGAAAAAATAAGAATCCCAGAGGTGATTAAATACCACCAAAAGAAAGCTCTATCTGTCTCAAAAAATGCTAAAAATTTCATATGGGTACAGTGTTGCATGACCGCGCAATTGTCATTCAGAGTGTGACAGCGCTGAAAGCTGGAAATTGGCCTGGGCAGGAAGGGGGTATAAGTGCCCTGTAGGCTAGTGGTTAAAGTGTTACTAAACCCAAGATCCTGCATTCACTCTATCTGATCTCCCACAGTACATACTACATTGAAATGCAATTATGTTTAGTAAATATAAACTGCTGATTACCTTTTCCCATCAGCAGTAAGGCTCAGTTCACACTGCTGTGACTTGAGATCCGACTTGAGACCCCAAGTCGCATGATGTGAAATCCCATGTTAGTCAATGAGAGTGATCTTAATTAGCACTACTGAAGTCGCTCCGACTTTAGAAAAGTTCCTGTACTACTTCAAGGTGACTTCTATCTGACTTGTGTCCAAATACTTTAATGGAAGTCGCCTCCAAGTCAGATCCTCCTCTATATTGATGTAATTTGAATCCGACATTACAGGAAGATTACTCAGGCATTCCCTGAAACTTGCTTCAAAGTAGTACTTAAGTTGCCTGGCAAAGTCGTACAACTTTCAGGTCGTAGTAGTGTGAAGCGAGACTTAGAGTAGTCTTGTGACTTCTATCAGTGTTCAGCAGAGCTTGTAGGAGTTTTCTTTCTGCTCTAGGAGGATGCAGAAGCCCTGACCTCTGTCCGGACAGTGCTGATTGGCCCTGTGCTGATCACATGCACTCTCCCCCCCCCCCCCCCCCCAAAAAAAAAACCCTCTTGCAATACACACCAAACTGAGCATGTGCAGAGTATCTCCACATGATGTCTTATTGGGGGATACTGGAAGAAGTTGAGGATCAGTAAAGTCAGGATAAAACAGCAATTCTACAGTGCAGAGGGTTTAACCCCTTATGTTCCACAGTGAGTATAATAAGCATTACACAGTGAGTATAACCAGACTGATTTTACTGCTGTGGGTTTAGTAACACCTTAATCTGCTCAGCAACAAGTTGTCCAAAAAAGAATCTAAAATGAATAAAAAGAGCCAAAAATGCACTGTAAGACGGACAAAAAGCAAACTGCATTGGTGTGAACCAGGCCTGAAATGCATTGAAAACACATAAAAAAACTCACACGTGTTGTGTTTTGATGCATTTTTTTTTGTCACATGAC